ACACGAAATGGCAGTCCCTTGCGCTCGCATCGTCTGCTACTGTGACCCCACCCGTGACATCGTCCTTAAGCTTCTCTTCCACTACGTCCACGTCGTCTGCGTGCTCATCGTCATCGATGGACTTGGTGGAGCTATCGTCTTGCGAAGTGCGAGAACCAAGACTGGGTCCCGTCGATTTGCCTCCTCTAGAAGATTTTGGATGGTACTCTGGCTGCGCTTCCAATCCAAACTTCTCCATCCCTCGTACACCGCTGGACATGGATCAAGCTTGCATGTGGGGCAAGAACAACGCTATGGGCCTGTCGGGACTGAACGTCGAGAATGAACGCCTCAAAGAGGGTCTCAATGCCACGCTGGCCCAATGGCCCTTCTCTGCACCATCATTCGAGCACCAAGCTGGTTTGGCGACGGGTCTAGCACGAGGGCAGAGCGGCGGCCTAGGCCTAAGCTTGGTAGCGTGAACCACCACTCGAGCTAAAGGAAGTATAGCCTTGCTTCTGCTCTCTGTGACTCCGGCGCCGACTCGAACTGTACACCTTATGTATCTGTATTAGTAATGCCGCCCGAATTGAGCCCTTCTCTATCACACGTCCACCTCTTTTGCGATCTAATGTGTCATCTTTGCAAATATCGTGGTCATTCGTGACTCCTCATCGTGTGACGAAGCTTGTTCACAAAAGGCAATCTCTGTAGCACTCAGATTGCTGGTGCTGGACTCGTCATGAGGGTGCGTGATAGAAATTACGAGCGGATGAACAGAACAAATCGCATGTCAGTACGCTGGCACGCAAATTTGTGCGAGGTCAAAAGGAAGGCTGCGACGAGGTGCTCCGCGAGGCTGTAGACGGTTCGGAGCCCAAGTGCGGAGCGTTCGTGCCTTCAGAGCGACGTTTCTTGATGACGTTTTCGATCTGCAAGTAGAAGGATGGAGGAACAAGTGGTCAGCGTTTTGCTTTGTTCGGCTCACACGAGATTCGCACTGCACGCAGGCTAGCACGAAGGCTCACAAAGTACTCTCCGGCCCTGTAGCTGCTTCTGACCAGAGGACCGCTCGCCACGTACAAGAAGCCCAGCTCCTTGGCCCTCTCTTCCCAATGCTTGAATTTGGCGGGGTCGACGTAGGCCGACACTTTCATGTGCCTCTTGGTAGGCCTCATGTACTGTCCCAACGTCACCACGTCTACGCCATGAGCGCGAAGGTCTGAAAGACGTGCGACACGGCACGGAAGGGCGAGTGGTCAGCTTGAGTGAGGTGTACAACGCTTTAGCAGTTTTGACCCACCTTGAAGCGTCTGCTCCACTTCTCCGTCTTCCTCCCCACACCCAAGCATGATGCTGGTTTTGGTGATGAGGCTGGGCCTGACCTCCTTTGCAAATCTCAAGACTTCCAAA